AATCAGCAGATGAGGCGGAACCGAACAACGTAAGTTGGAAAATGTAACGGACATAATTTTTTGTTATCCAGCGGTTCCTTTGATCCCAAGGATAAGGTCCGGTGAAGTTTACTTTGCGGATTAAGGAGTTTTAGTGCTGTATTTTCCAGGGTTATTTCGGAATTTTAGTCGGAATTTTTATTGGGGAAAGACAAAAAAAAAGGTCTTACGATTCGGAATAGTTTGTTGTTTCCTGACAGAGGAGGCAAAGATAGAGTGCATGACTCATGTCTGCACAGGACGTAACAGTATTGAAGTAATATATTTTATCAAATCATTAGATTTTTCTTCAATGACCTGTAAATTTTCTTTATATAGAGCATTTTGAAATTCGTTTTTGCCAAATTTACTTTTAGAATTAAGGATGTCAAATGCATCATTAATATTTTTGGAAAATGTAGCAGTTTCTTTTGCACCTTCAAAATCAGACCGTTGGCTTTCTAAATACAATAACGCATGCGATACACTCGTACTGAACCTGCACAGCTAATTTGACCTTCATTTTTTCATGATAAAAATCTATGTACCTTCTTCTTATTTTCGTGCCCAAATGCATCCCTTCTTCTTCCTGAACTTGAACCAACTTAATAAACAAATGCCAATTAATTTTTTCATCACTTGCATACAGAAATTTATAATGATCGGTAGCGTTTCTTATTAATTCAAGCATGTGACAAACATCTGGAATCACGATAATTGGCTCATCTGTTGCTGGGTGTGAAAAAAAGCAATGATCATTATAATTTGTTACATCAGCGCCAAGTTCAGCGACCATAGATAGATTAGTTGATGCTCCGTCAAAGGTGAGTGACCGTATTTCACTAATACCATGCTCGTGCAGGGTTAAAAGTATTTCTTTTAATATATTTGCCCTAGTCGAACCACATAAACTTTTAACAAAATAATAAGCGATGGGCGTTTTAAAGTGCCCATTAAGGCAGACCAACATGAAGACTAGAGCATATGATGCTTCTTCCAAATTTTTCTTTTTTTCATATGTTCCTATATCTACGACTCCATGCCAAGAACCATTCCGCAATTCTACCAGCTTTTTAACAGACATTTCGTCAACTTGTAAGCCAAACTGTAATTCCTTGCCACTTTTTCTTTCCTTTTCAATCATATCTCGAATGCTTATTAATATCTGGCTACTGATACCAGGACTCAAGTCAATTTTTGAAAACCAACGTCTAACTGTTTGAGGACTTGGCAAAGATTTTAAAAAGCTCTCTCTGACATACCTGTACGCTGATGCAGAGTAAAATAATAATGAGCATGCAAAGTCTTTTAATGCTGGAGAATACGAAAGTTTACTTTTACAAGATAAAACGTTTCTTATAATGTCTTGCAACGCTGGAGAGGAAGTCATCTGCAAGAGTTTTTGTGTTAGAGGTTTATGTGTCAGAGGAGTTCATCAATTATTTTTTTTATTAATATATATATATATATATATATATATATATATATATATATATA